AAGAGAAGAGAAAGGGGAGGGAAAGAGAGAAGCGAAGGTAGAGGGAATGTTGACTGACGATGGTATAAAGATGCCTTTCTCAATCAACAAAATTATTTGGTAAAATTGACAGCCCTCACGTGATCAAAATTTACATCACCACTACATCCTGAGTCCTAAGTTTAAAGATGTCGAATAAGCGTATAGGATGTGACGAAACATTTAATTCAGATTATTATTATATGCCACTTTCGCGAGAACAATCAACTAGGCCTAAGAGTAACTGATTTTGCCGAGAAGTTATTTAAACAACTTCAGTCTAAAAGGCCAAGGTTAATGCAACGGGGATGGAAAAGTAAAAAGGGTGAAATAGGTATCCAATTGTAATCTCTATGCGTTATACTTGTCGGTTCCATGAACTTAAATTCGGTGTTTCAGCATACATCGGGCGTATAATGCAAGAACAAACACAAACGCAATAATATGTGTGCTGAGACCACAATAAAAAGTTGTTTCGTTTCACCGTTTACTAAATGCGGTAAGAGGACCAAGCTGGCATGAATTGTGGTTTCTGATTCACCGTTATTGGTTTTTAGTACTAACAAAACGGCACACACATCCACATCCACATAGGCCTAAACCGTCAGAGAATATCCTATACGAAAATATCAACAATTACATGTCGAAAGATGAGGTAACGAACAGAGGATTTCTATTAAACATCTTTTCTCAATCACCTGTGTCCTCTTTCAGCTCTGCCAGCCCATTCGGCTGATGCTGGGGTACACGGGCACTGAGTTCGAGGAGAAAAACTACCCTGTCGGCGACGCCCCAGACTACGACAAGAGCGAATGGCTGGCCGTCAAGTTCAAACTCGGCCTCGCCTTCCCCAACGTGAGTAGAATGGAAAGCAGTGGCAGGTTAGTGCTAGCGAGGAACAACAACAACCCTGGCGGTGAACAGAGAGTCGTCAGATCTGAGATAAAGAACAGACTTTCCCCCGTTCGCATCCAGCTTAGGAGGATACGGGAAACAAGGTCTATTCAAGTACATACATAGGCCTTGACGGGAAGTTGCCTCTGCTGCCAGACTCACTGACATTTATAGTTCAGGTGAACTCGATCCCACATAAAAGATGTGGCCTAACGATAATACGGTCTGTATGAAAGTGATTGCGCTGTTGCTTCGCTCTAATACTTATTGGCGATCTCTGGGCCTTTCGAGTGAGCCATATTTAGAACAGCAATCGTGTTCTCAGAGGGGGGTATGTGGCGGCTCTCGAAATAGTGATTCGGCTGGAGTTATTTGTATTATAACGAAATTGCTTAACAGTATATGCTTCATTGGGAACCTTGCTATATTTCTTATACATAACCAACTACTATATCAGAGCATTAAAAGCTAGGTAAGAAACTAACAAACAGTAACTGTATAATCCCGGCGTAGCTTTATTAATAATAACAAACACTGCAAAGTGATCTCCGAGTTCCCAGAGAATAAGAAAGCCTCAAAACGCCAAACTAGGCAGAGCCGGAGATACGAACTGGATTCCGCAATTTGTACTGGATGGGAAAGAACAGCCCAGTTATTAATTCAGGGTCTTGTTATGGAGAGGCGGAGGAAACCATGCATATGTATGTCGTAATTAAATCTTTACTTGGATCAGTTCGTACACAGTTATGTTGTTTATTCTTTTAGTGTAGGAGAATGCCAGCTTGGTTTAAAAAAATACATGGATGATAAAAATAACAATTGCTTTTAATGTGATTTCAGTTTGAATCTCTCTCTCTCTCTCTTTCTCACAAACTCATCCACCCACCCGCTCACTCACCTACTCACCCACTCACTCACACACTCTCTCTCTTTCTTTCCCTCTCTAACTCCCTCAGTTATAATCTATCTGTCTGAGAGAGAGAGAGAGAGAGAGAGAGAGAACGAGTACTTCTTGCTAACGTCCCATCTTCTGGCAGCTTCCCTACTATATCGACGGAGACGTGAAGATAACGCAGAGCAAGGCCATCATGCGCTACCTGGCACGGAAGCACGGCCTGTGTGGCACGACGCCGGAGGAACTCGTCAGGACAGACATGTTAGAGTGTCAACTGACAGACATGCACGAAGCTTTCTTTACCGTCACCTACGAACACTACGTAAGGACTCGCTAGATCTATTCTTTACGATAGCTCATCCGCAACTGTATTTACGTATTTATGAAAGTTTATGAAGTTGTAGATAGGCCTATGTATGTAAATGTAGCTCAGTGTTGACAGATCCTAGTAATAATCTTTAATTATCAGGTTAGCAATTCCTAAGATTAATCTTTAATAATTACGTTATTTATACCTTGTGTTAATCTTTCATCTTCGCAATCCTCATAATCATCTTCTTTGCCCATGTTCGTAACATAATAGTCTCATAATCACGAATTTCCCAATAATAATCTTTACTAACCACGTACGTCATCCTAGCCGATAGTCTCTAAACCTTGTCCTCCCACAGGAACAGAAGGATGCCTACACGGCCTCCCTCCCCGCCAAGCTGAGGCAGTACTCGGACTTCCTCGGCAGCAGACCCTGGTTCGCCGGAGACAAGGTCAGGCTTTGGCGCTGACGGTGACCCCTTTGATACTGCAAATTATATTAAGGGCGGGGATGGAGTGGGCGTAATGCGCGGAGGGGGAGCCCTGACAGCGCTACATAAAGAGGGGTTCTCCTTGGCCATTACTCCCAGCGAACAATCTCGCGAAATTGCACAGAATTAGGCCGGAAATACGCGCTAGAATGGCCTGGCAATATTGTATTTTTTACGGTTTTAAATATCTTTTCTCGCTTTTGTCTTCCGTAACGAAAACGGGGGAGTAATAACGACATATTTTTGATTCAATTAAAAGATTACCTAAAACGTGCTCTTTAAATGCAATTTAGTGTCTTTCCTTTACAAATGGAAGTTTGATTGCATTTAATGACGCCAGTGATAAGCCCTTTGATCTTATAAGGTAAAGGATGCTTAGTAATAACTCTGAGAGGAGGGTCACTTTATGTGTTCTTCAGCATATGGAGGGAATAAATGGATTTTTGAATCTAAGGCCATTACACTAATTTCTTCATTTATTAAAGCAAAATGGAGAAGGAAAGATGAGATAGGGTATTGCGACAACGCTGTGAGTTTACTTCCGTGACCTTTTATTCCTGTGTGTAGGAGCTACTCTATCCATTTACATTTTTTACGTATGTGTGCTTAGGAATGTACGTGTTCATTCATTCACTCACCCAGCAACTCATTCACTCACTCACTCACTCACACACATACATATGCACATACACACACATGCATACATACATATACCCATACACACACATACAT